TATATATATATATATATATATATATATATATATATATATAAATCTGGCCACAGTGGAAGAGTGGAAACACTTACATTTAGTTTCAATTGGAAAATTATGTATTATTCCCAAAGGGAAATTAAATGTTGCAGTCACTCATGAGCAGTGTTTGAACAAGATGTTGTTGGTGTTGCTGTTGGTAGGACACTCCGGGGGTAAGTCATCCAACGTGGAGTTTTTTCTTGCTTTCTCATGGTTGGCTTATACAGGGGAGGTTTGTGATTGGTAGCAAACCATTGCCTGTTTAAGAAAATGCATTTGTGTTTTGAGGCATGTCAGGGGAGTCTCAAAAATCCACACACAAATGCAATGAAGTTTAAAGACCACAGGTGCTTTTTTTTTACTTAATTTATAACTGTTCATGGACCAGAAATACTTTGTTGAATCTTGTTATGTGCATGTGTGGATCTTGTTCTGTGTGTGTGTGGATCTTGTGTGCTTGCAGGAATCGTTCTATGCATGTGTGGATCTTGTCCTGTGTCTGTGTGAATTTTTTTGTGCTTGAGGGGATAATTCTGTGCATGTGTGGATCTTGTCCTGTGTCTGTGTGGATTTTGTTGTGCTTGAGGGAATCATTCTGTGCATGTGTGGATCTTGTTCTTTTGTGTGGGGATCTTGTGTGCTTGCAGGAATCATTCTATGCATGTGTGGATCTTGTGTGCTTGCAGGAATCATTCTGTGCATGTGTGGATCTTGTCCTGTGTCTGTGTGGATTTTGTTGTGCTTGAGGGAATCATTCTGTGCATGTGTGGATCTTGTCCTGTGCGTGTATATATACACGTATGTGTATTTGTGAAAACTGAGACCGATCTAGCTCCATACAAAGGTGCTCAACATGCAGCCTGAATTACGGTAGAATTTAAGATTCAAGTTGACTATTTTCATGTACATAGCAAGCTGAACGATTGCTATAGTACGCAATGAAATTCTAACAATATTTTTACTCGCCTTCTTAAAATGATATAAAAGAGAATTATGCAGAGAAAATTAACAAATAAAAAGAATCACACAACAAATATGCATTTTTTTAATTGTGAACACTGCACGAATAAATGAAAATATTTGTGCCAACAATAAATACCTCGATGAATAAGTTGTTGCATCTTTCATTGATGGTCAAAATCATATGCTGGAATGACCTTAGCTAGATTTCAACTCAAAATATCTAGCACACCTACACCCACTACTTTCCTTCAGAGCTGACCAGGCATAAGCTTTTATAAAAAGAGTCTATTTAAAAGCAACTTGGTGGAGATTTATTCAATATGACCTGCAACTGTAATTGCATTGAAGCTATTAAGTCATGGGAATGACTGTTGCGCATGCCAAAAACACTTAAATTCGAATCTCATTTTCCTATTGTTTCAGAAGTTTGCACTACTTTATAATAATCAGTTCTATAAAATCCACAGAAAACTCCTTAAAGTTTGTAGCTGTTATGGAACTAAATGAAGAAAAAGCTGAAAGGGGATTAATAATAACACTTTTGCAAGGCAGGGAATAGCACTGCCTTTGTTAGGAGTTGAAAAAAGGAGCTCGACATGAAAATGAAGTTACAGGTGGAGATTTAGAGACGATATCAATCAAAGCTGCCTTGTAATGTAACCTACCAGTTAAGCTTTTAAAGAATGACAAAGGAGGGATGAAGAAAAGAGAAACTTGAAATAGGAAAGGAAATGTACTATGACACAATTGCAAACAATTACCATTAATGGCATCATCTATCCCCTACAGAGAGAGTGCTGAGTAGACAGTGTGCCCCACATCAGTGAGCTGAAAACATGTTTTTAAATATTGTACACAAGGAAAAAGATATTTTTATATGGCCTTATAATCCAGAAAAAAAACTTTGTTCATTACTTAATATATTTTTGTTATGGTTCTATCTTTAGCCTAGAAGATGAGGTATATACTGCAATGTAATGGTCAAATAAAACAAGTACACTGAAAGGTTTGATGACATGTTGTGAACAGACAGTGGTGCATGACTTGTTCAGCCATGCAGTTCAAGAGAAGCGGTTGTTGTCACTGAGTTGTAAACGTAGCTTCTGCTCTGCGCTTTCACGGGCTCTGCAGGCGAGATGACTTCCAGATGGTCTAGGGAAAGTGTTTGCCATGGGTTACAGCAGGCCAGCCTGCCTGGGAGTTTTTCTGCACAGGCAAAGATGTGTGATGGTGTGTGTGTGTGTGTTGGGGGGGCGTTCTGGGGTAATCCAGACATGCAACATGCAGTCCAATATTTAATTTTTTCTCCACACACTCACACGGCGAGCCCAGACATTCGGCTGGTAAGGTTTTGGTCTATAACACCAGTGTTGTGCTTGCAAGTAGCCTACTTCTGAGGAGGATCCAAGGATCACTGAGGGTTCACATGAGTGGAGAGAGAGAGAGAGAAAGAGAGAGAGAGAGAGAGAGAGAGAGGAGAGAGAGAGAGAGAGAGAGAGAGAGAGAAACACCTTTGAATAATGTCTGGAGTGAAATACAACTTTTACCACTTGTAATAATTTTTTCCAAGAAATTAACATTTTAAATATAAGTCAAGAAAAAAGGTAAGTCTGTTTTTTGTCATGATTAACATAATAATTCCATGGCAAGCTAAACTGATGCTTTGTTACAATTACGAAATTACTAAAAAGACCCTGTATTATGAACAATCCACATTTTTTTATGTGTCCTGAAGCCTCTGTATGAGGTTCACAATTGAGAAAATACCTTTGCCTGCCTCCACCTCTTAGCTAATGTGTGCTCAAAATGCTCTGTTTGAAAAGCGTGCCCTTTATGATGTCATAAGGGGAAGTAAGCTATCCAGAGGGATCTGTAGCAGTCATCGGTCAAGCTACAGCCTTCATCTAATGTATTATTACACGCTCCTATGCTATCTAGGAACTCTGACTGGTTATCATGGTTGTGGGGACTCAGCTTTTGGAGGACAGGGGCATGAAAAACCAAAATAGCTCGTCCTTAAGAGTCCTCTATAGAGCCTTAATAAGGACATTTTTGGAAGAGGCTATCTAATCTAATTTTCCAGCACAAATGGCAAAAACATGCATGGGGTCCTCATTGTTAATATTTTCATTTATTATATTTTCATTTTAAAATGTAGCATAATACGGAACCTTTACTTTCTTATTGGTAATTTTTGAGCATTTATCAGAAAAGCAGCCAAGATGTCTAATGTAAGTATGGGGGAGCTGCAGAGATGTACAGCTCAGGTAGAACATCTGGTGAGAGAAATTAGTCATTCTTTCCACATATCTGTACTTTATTGAAGAGTTGCTAGAACCACAAGAAAGTGATTGTTGAAATAAAACCATAAGAAGTTGTGTTTGCATTTTGACACACAAAAACAAACAAACAATACAAGATACCAAAATTAAATTCTTTTAGTTACATACAAAAGTTTGGAGAAAACAATGACCAGTGTGCCTAAAAGCCAAAAGATACAACTGTAAATAATGATGGTGGCAGCAACATGCTGTGGAAATATTCTTCAGAATAGAGACAGGGCAGTTGATCATAATTTATGTGAAAATGGAGGGGACTTTTTTTTTTGGTAAAGAAAAACTCAAGAATTCCCATGGAGAATCGGGAAAAAAGTCTCAGTCTTGTGAAAAGCTGACAGTGGCATATCTGACAGTGACTTTTATTATGTTGTTCTCACCTAAATGTATTGGATGAGGCATCAAAATAGCTTAATGGTTTCAAAATATATCGGAAAAATGTGTATTGAGTGTACAACTATATTATCACCCTGCAAAAATGTTCTAAAAATGAGCCAACATTTCTTACATTAAGCGTATTTACCCTTAATTTGAGCAGGTAAATAAGATTATTTCCCAACGGAATCAGTATTTTCTCTCTTAAAATGTTGAAATAAGACAGTGCAATTGTATTTTTCCCCCTTATTTTAGATTTCAATTGTCTTGCTCCATTGGCAAAGTGTCTCACCTTCTCAATTCAAGAGAAAAATGCACTTATTTTAACAAAAATTGACCTTTTTTTATTTTTTACAATGCTGGACACATTGCCTTGAATCAACTCAAAATGATATCCCTTAGATTAGAAAAGAGCTTCAGGTTTAATTCACATGACAAACACCTTGACTTGCTGTGACCCAGCTTTTTTTTTCCAACCTGTTTTAGGACAAACAGAAGCAGGCTGCTGTCCTCTCTCCTCCTCCTTCTCCTCCTCAGCAGCTCCTCAGTCCCACCCCTCTCCACCTGGCTCTGCTGCGCACCGCCGACTGGAGGCAGAGCGCCGCTACTCCTCTCCCCTACGCTGAGGTAGACGCAGTTTCCAACAAACCTGAGTTCATCTCTCATCCGCAAAGCATCTAGACCTACTTTTGGTTGAATTCCAGAATATAGAAGCTTATTGGAATTTGAAAGAAAGTGGGAAGAAAACAGAACAGAGAAAGAAAGCAGCCTTCAGCATCCTCCCCTCGCATCTCGGCTCCTTCATTCCTCCCCGGTGTTTGTCTCCTAGAATCCAGGAGCGCTTCTTTATTTTCTGCCTTTTTCTGGGACTTTCAATCCCTTTTCTTAGCCGCTGGAAGGAACCCGAGGAAGATCCCGAGAGCTGGCCGGACGTTTCAGTTTTCATCTTCCCGATACAGGCGGCGGATCCCCGCACCATAAAGACTGGAAATTATTAATCCCGCACACACCGCAGTACCGCATGGTGGGAATTTCTGCCTCCTTTCAGTGTAAGTAAGCGCTCCTTTTAGGATGTTGACAGAACAACTGCAAATAAACACAAACTATGTATGGAAATATTTAGTTAATTATTTTCTATTTCTGGTGCATTCATTGAGCTTTCTGGTCCTGATTAATGAAAACAAATAGGTGTTTTGCTGTGTAGCTGACACATGCATGCGAACAAAGAGTTTCTGCTCACTTGATACATTTTATTTTGTCTCCATAAAATTGATTTCGGCCAGAAGGCTGCAGCGATTAAGCATAACTCTAGATTACAGATTATTTTTAATTGTGCCCTCTGCTTTCATGTGTTTTTCTTTGCAGCAGGCATTTTCGACATTCAACTGAGGCGTTATTATTTTTATATAATGTTTTTAAACACCATCTAGTTTTGTGGATGTTTTGGTAGAAAAGAAGAAAACGGATGATATATTTTTACTGCTTTCTTTATGATTAATATCTAGAAACTTATTTCTTTCCTTGTTTTTCTTGGAGCGCATCTTCTCCAATAAACCCTTATGAAGTTTTTCTTCTCACCTTCATAAAGCTTTGTCATTCATAACAGGAATTATTTTTATTCACGTCTCTTTCTCTACCTTCCCTTTAACCAAATTGTCAAGTCTTGAAATTAAAGGCTGGGCTTTATTTATTTATTTTTCCTCCAGTCGGAATCTTTTTTTGCTTCGGCTGGGAAAAGCGCAGAAATGCGGGTTTACAGGGCGTGAAGCTGCTCTGGCTCAACCTGCTGCAGATACAGCAGACTGTTCTCACGGCTCAGACTAGAGAGGGAGGAAATATCTGCTAAGGAACCACACCAGTGGTTTTTTTTTTTTTTTTTATGTGGGACCAGAAGTCTCCATAGCATTTAAACGCATCTTTATTGTCCAATGGAGTTACAGATATTTTTATTTTTACTGACCTGAATTAAACAAATGATATTCTGCTGCTTATATCCAGCACACTTGATACTCAGTTTTTTATAAGATGCTTCCTGATGCACTTTAGAAAAGTATTGAATTTTATTTAAGCATTTTTCTATGTCTGGACAAGAAAAAATAAATATGGANATCCATCCATCCATCCATCCATCCATCCATCCATCCATCCATCCATCCATCCATCCATCCATCCATCCATCCATCCATCCATTTTGTCTACACTCAATAACCTTGAGGAGCAAGCTGTCGTTTACTGTGTGTTGGGTACTTATAGACATGTTGCCAGCTCCCTCTGGGCAACGCAATGACCCCTCATGCCTAGGGTTAATTTTGAGTAATTTTGACTTATGGTTATGGGTTTTTTTATGAGAGGGATCCATATAAAATGTGTTCATACATTGAGAGAACATGCAAACTCCTGTTTTAGAATAATCAAAATGAGTATTTGTAGAAATTCTGGACCACAATTGGCTGTGACATGAGAGAAGGGGCTGGTGCCTATATTGCGCAGTTGTGTTTGCTTACAGATAGGGAAAAAGAGAGCAAAACATCAGAGAAATAAGCTGCGAATGAAAGGCAAACAGAGATGATGTGGAGAATAAATGAGAAGTGCTGTGATCGCACGTGTGAAAGCGAGTGTGTTTACACCCGGAAGGCTTGCATTAAAGCCATGCTGCTCTGTGGTCCATCCTCTGCAGCATCTTCTAGGGGCCATCTGCCCAGCCACCAGCCTGCCTCACACCTGTTCTCCCCCCACACACACACACACACTTTTTCCTCCCTCCTCCTCCAACTCCGAGGCTACAGGGTCAAACGCATCAGACCACTGCTCACACACATGAAAAAAAAAAGAAAGAGCGATGGAGGCCATTTTATTCTCGCCTTCGCACACACAGCCAGAGAGCCACACTCATATGCAGAAAAAGACTGTGGCGTCGCCTGCACTCTCACTCAATCTGCTGTGCAGATGACTCCCCAACCCCCGACATCCCCCCCACCCCCCCGCCCCTTGATAATTCACGTTCCCTCCTCCTTCCTTTATTTGTTTGCCGCTTTCTGATGTTAACCACAGCTAATAGATTTCTAGCGGTTTGTGTTGAATCCAAACAAAGCTTTCAGATCACACCAGCAGACATGAATTACTATTATTCCAAAATGGAAATAAAATGCACACATATTTCCCCCTCCAGCACTGAAGTCGCACTGAAGCTCCAGCTCTGTAATGTAATTACAAAGCGCCTCTTTTAAGTGTGACACACAGACGCTTGGACGTGGTCCAGGTTTGCTGCATGGTGAATAAGGGATGTTGACTCAGTCGATCCTCAAGCTTGTGAGCTTTTCTCCATCAGCTGGGATTGCATCACACGTTCTCCTTCTGGTTGTGCGATTGTCTTTTGTTTTAGGATTTGTTTCTATATTCGAGGATGCAGACTCACAAAGTCCTTCCTTTGTTAAAATACTCGTAAGTGCAACAGCAAATTAGTGTCCTTTAATCCGGTTGCTTGTTTGTCTTCTGCTTCACTATTTCTGGAATTGGTATGCCTGTCTTGCAGGATAGCAAAGGCATATCTTAAAAACCTCAAAATTTTATTTTGAATTTTAGAATCAAACTAAGCTAAAGTATTAAAGCAGACAAAGCTTCAACGACTTGAGTTATAGAAGTGCTGTCAGTGGGCCATATGTCACCTGCTGAACTGGCCACTAAAACCACTGTTATCTGCACTCCTTCAAGATGTATAGATCTGTTATTATTCAGAGCCGTCTGTTACCAAGTCCCAGAGTGAATTATAGATGTAATCACAGCGCACGCTCCCATACACACCCCTTCCCATTGTAGATCAATAAGCCGATTGATGGTTATCAGCGAGAGGGCAGTTCTCCTCTCTGCTTATTGAATTTCATCAGCCGTGAAAGCAGTGGTATAAAAAAGGAGTTGCAGGTAAGAATGCGTATATGTGTGTCTGAAAGCAGCATTTGTGAAGTGTGTGAGAGAACGTTGAAGTCTTTGTTCCATTGTAGCTCTAAGGTGGCCGTTTACTGTGGGGTTTTTTTGCGTTCAGTATGAACAGCAAGCACTACCAACTTGTGTTATTGACCTTATTCAGGTTTTAACTCCAGATTATGTTGGACTTTTATGGAAAAGAAGCTAAAAGACAGAGGAGGCAGCGACTGAAGATATCAAAGAACTATTGTTTTCTGTCGTTTTATTGTTTTTAGCTGCAGATAGCCATATTTGTCAAACCTGATTTCTCTTTTGCAATTAAAATATAAGGTATGGGGGCAAAGATCTTAATATTTCTTCAAAGGTAAATCAATAATTTATATAAGGAGTAGAGGTGAAATCACATTGGGTAAGAGAGATGATTGAAAAGAGAAAATGTTTTTTTATGATTTTAAACCTAAATAAAAGACAAGTTGTCATTCATGTCTTATATTTGCATTTAGTGGAGTTATTAACATTGTTAAAACAGCAGTCTCCTTCTATTTTTCCTAAATAGTGTAAACCTTAACCGTGAGATTTCCAAAATACGGTCAGCTTCTCCAGATTAAAGGGTCGAAAGGCGGAGAGTTTCTTAGCCTTCCTGTTATCATTTCACATTTGGGAGGTGTCGTTTTCTGGACAGAGCTGGTGATTGATTACAATCAAGTTTAAACTTATTAAAATGTTTTTCTTGTTTTTGATAGAAATATTTCAACTTATAAAGCTAATACAGTTTTTAATTTAAAAGTCACACATATAGTCGCTAGAATTCCCCCAAAATAATCGTTTACGGGGTGTGAGGTTGTCTTTATTTCTTTATTGTAGGTGGAGTAAAGAGTGTAGACATGTGGGGCGTAAAACAGCTGAGGTTTTTAAAGGATAGGTTAAACATATTGTTTTAAACATAAACTTGCACAGGATTTCATGAAAGCCAAAAAGGAAAACAAAAAAGGCAAGTTTCCTGAAATGTGTCCATCTCCATCTGTTTTAAATTTTACTCTTTTTCACTGTCTTGCAGGCAGAGAAAACAAACTTATATCTCGTTTTACTTAACTTTCAGTGTTGGTGCGATTATTTGTTCAAAAATATTGGCATTTCTATGTAACCTCAATAGGGGCACTAGTGCTCTATTTAAGGCATGGTTTATGACTGCACATTCGGCACATCCTGACTTTCGGCACCATGAATTTAGGAAAATTTGTCCTGTTCAAGTGACACCTTTTACTTGTGATTGTTGGCAAAATATAAGCATCTACTGACATCTTATGATTTTGCCCATAAATATCACTATGATTAACTGATTTTGAAAATCTGGAAAGAAATGATTGTGACTACTACTTCTACATATTGTGTCGTGTTTCAAGCTTGCAGTCTTTTGCTGTACACACTCCTCCTAGAGCCGGCCAATAAAATAGGTACAGGGGAAAAAGCTGCATGAGTATAAAAGCTGTAGAGTTGTCCACTTTCACGCGGAGTATGTGAGCGTCAAACATAACTGAGCCATAACCCCTGTTGGTCTGAAGGCCCTATAACAACTGCTTAGTTTGCTAATAATTTAGGCCGGCCACCTCTTTTATTTTAAGCTCCGAAACTACCTGTATATAGGTAGTGACTAAATACACAGTAATTGATGTGTGGAGGAGTATATAAGCATGAATATAATCTCACATTTACTCTACAGCCTGGCCACTGAATGTTGACTGGAGGTGAGGTGCTAATTAACTTTACTTTCTCCCACTGTATCCCCCCCCCATACACACACACACACACACAGACATGCACACACACATCCTGAATCTCTCTCTTAGCCTCCTTCGCACAATGTCTGTCCCTTAGCTCACTTGCACTCTCAACCACTGTTTATTTTCCTGCCTCCATCTGGAATTGGCTGATATTGTAATCGCCCTAATGCACATTGCCTTTCACACTAACACACATTCACACACATACACCCGCCCATACAATGTGCCATCCTGACAAGCCCCTTTTCTCTTTCCAGGAGATAAGCCACTGAATGTGATTGTGTTTGTGTGTGATTTAAGTACACACTTAGGTGTGTATGCAATATGTCTCTGGAATACAAAGAGAC